TCAACTGTGATATTTACATATGAATAAGCCACCACTCATTCTCCCCAAAAAATGTCGCTTGAGTGTTCAACCCTTAGTTAGTGGCAACCCTAACTCCGGAGGAACCCTGATCTATCCCTAACAGGCCGGAACACTCTCCCTGAATACCCCTAACTTTCCCTCACAGGCTGGGTATCTGTCCCTGTCTACGTTCACATGTGTTCTGCCCAAAACGTGGATGGGCTTTGCTTATCTATAAAAACCAACCCGAAATGGCCGACCAAATCTCCCAGACTTCTCCAAAATGGTGCTGGAGACAACTACATAGTTCTCCTTTAAGTGTCAAGTTGTGTCCATTTGGGAATTCTCTGTTTTAGGTCTCGTTCACACCTAGGCGTATTGCATATGCGTGTCTGTCGCGCGACCGTAAGTTTTACTACTTACCGCGATTCGCGGTAAGTAGTAAAAAGTAGTACATGTACCTTTTCAGGCGTGGGCCGTTTTGTAGCGCGTTGGGAAGGGGGGAAATACGTCGAGGTGGGAACGAGACCATTGAATACAATGGGATTGATATTTTTGAGCGTTTTGTAGAGCGTTCGTCGAGCGTAGAACGCGCTACAAAACGTTCAGGTGTGAACGAGGGCTTAGAGTAGCTCTAACACAAGGAACAATAAAATTCATACCCAAGTAAACCCCTCAGAACATTGAGGCAAATGGAACTGAGCCTATGGTGAGAAAATGTTTAAAGCAAAATTGAACTTGTTTGAGAACGGCATGTCAGAACGATCGTTGGATCCAGAGACAGGCAGCGGGCGTTATGTGCAGATCTCATGTTTCTCTAGTATACAGTCATTGGCAGTTGTCAGGTTATCAAATGTCATGTTCTTCCTTCTTACTCTTCTTTGTCCTCGTCAGGTGGTACCACGCCAGTCTCACCCGCCTGCAGGCAGAGCACATGCTGATGAGAGTCCCTTGTGACGGGGCGTTCCTGGTGCGCAAGAGGAGCGAACCAAATTCTTACGCAATTTCCTTCAGGTGAGACCGGGAATAAGATATGAAGAGTGAAAAGGGGAGGGAGGGAAACAGGTCTTTTCTTATGCTTTTTTTTTTGTATAATCTTTATTTGCAGTTTTCAAAAGATTTTGTTCACAAAGGTACATTTTGGGGACAAAAGCAGGTCAGACGAAGACCCCCCCCAAAAAATAAAATAATACGACATACAAAATCACACAATAATTGGGCGATCAGCCCACACATATCCTACAGGCTCTATTCCAGTAAGAAGGAGATGATGCACCCGGCATCACCTCGAGTTCAGGCTAGCGAACACCCTACTATCTTGACGTTGTGCAAACAGGACAGATAGGAAAGGATTTCAATGCAAGTAGGTATCATACTCATCCGAACAATTATAAAAAAAACCCGGGCTGAAGGAGAACTCAATGGCTTAATAGCTGAACAAGGCCTTAAAGTGTGTAGGTCACGGTATATTAGACACATAGTGTAACCACACCGCCCATTTAGAGTTAAAGCGGTCAGATCTATCTCGGCTCTTTGCCACCCATTCCTCTGCCTCTTGAATAGTTGATACTTGTGTGATCCATTTTTTTATGATTTTAATACATTGTTGTATTTTGATGTGGAATTTTGTATCTGACTGTCCCTGTGAAATATCTAATACGGAATAAATGATGATGACGTTATGTCATGGATGCAAGGAGTACATGGCTGTGTTTTCTTTGACATGTCTCGTTCTCTCGCAGGGCGGAGGGCAAGATTAAGCACTGCCGCATCCAGCAGGAAGGGCGTCTCTTTATGCTGGGGAGTTCGGCAGAGTTTGAGAGTCTTGTGGATCTTGTTAGCTACTATGAGAAGCATCCTCTGTACCGCAAGATGAAGCTCCGCTACCCCATTAATGAGGAAGCTCTGGAGAAGATGGGCACAGCGGTGAGAAAACAACTGAGCACCCCTAAAACTTTCACTGACATGGGCTGAAATGTAACTTTCTCCTGGACTTGTATTTATGTCCAAATGTTGGTGGACAGCTGACCATCACACAGTTTGTTGGACATTCCATTCCAGAACCATTACATTGATATGGAGTTGGCCTTCTTTAACATCCTCCACTCTCCTAGGAAGACTTTCCACAAGATTTTGGTGGGGGTCTGTATAAATTTGTAGTCATTTTATAAGTCAGGTACTGATGTGGGATGAAAAGACCTGGCTCACAATCAGCGTTCCAATTCATCCCGATAGTGTTCAGTAGGGTTGAAGCCAGGGCTCTGTGCAGGACACTCGAATTCCCACACACCAAGCTGGTCAAACCATGTCTGTAATGGAGCTGGCTTTGTACACAGGGGACAGTCATGGAACAGAAAAGGGTCTTCACCAAACTGTTACCACAGAGCTGGACAATTGTCTAGAAAAGGGCCTTCACCAAACTAGTCACACCATGTCTTTATGGAGCCGGCTTTGTAAAAAGGGGACAGCCATGGTGGAAGAGAAAAGGGCCTTCACCAAACTGGTCACACCATGTCTTTATGGAGCTGGCTTTATATAAAGGGGACAGCCATGGTGGAACAGAAAAGGGCCTTCACCCAACTGGTCACACCATGTCTTTATGGAGCTGGCTTTCTACACAGGGGACAGTCATGGAACAGAAAAGGGTCTTCACCAAACTGTTACCACAGAGCTGGACAATTGTCTAGAAAAGGGCCTTCACCCAACTGGTCACACCATGTCTCTATGGAGCTAGCTTTGTATAAAGGGGACAGCCAATGGTGGAAGAGAAAAGGCC